CTGTACCTAAAATCTGGACCTCGATGTGTCTCGGCTTCTCCACGAACTTCTCCACGAACAGCGCTCCGTTCCCAAAGGCCGAGAGGGCCTCGGAGAAGGCGCGCGTGTAGTTCTCCTCCAGCTCCTGAGGGAAGAGGGGGAAGCTGCGCTAGAGGCGCCGGGCACTACTGACCCCCGCTGCCTGCTCCTCCCCAGGACTCTTCCCCGTGGCTGTTCCAGGCCTCCTGGCCGAGGGAGCCCCTGGCCAGAGAGAACGGGACACCTCCCCTCCCAGAGGCCAGGGAACTACAGGTCCGCCTGTCCCAGGAGCACCAAGGCGGGAGGTCCCTTCAGCCCCAGCAGGAGGGGCCCAAAGCACCTCCCCGCCATCACCTCCCACTTTCATGTGCCCCCCTCCCTCTGTCCCTTCCCCCCCCCAAAGGGAGGAGGCAGGCGCCAAAGGAACCATGGGGGACTCTGTGATGAGTCTGGAAGGAAGGGGAGTCACACCCCGGCCCACCAGCTTCACACACACACACCCCTAGGGAGAAGGGCGAGGAGGCCCCAAGCCCTACACGTCCCTCGTAGCTGCGCACGACGCGCATGCCTCTCCCGCCCCCGCCATACGCGGCCTTAAAGATGATGGGGAAGCCGTACGTCTCGGAGAACTCCTGGGCCTCGCTGAGCGACGAGATGGGGGAGTCCGTCCCGGGAACCACGGGCACGCCTGGGGAGCAGAGGGAAGGATCCGTCCCCCGCCGCGCCCGACTGCCCGCCCCCAGCCCCCCCTCTTTCCCCCCGCCAGTGGGACAAGAGAAGCGCAAGGGGCCGACGGGACTCGGGAGGCTTGGATCCAAAGCCCCACGTGGGACTTCAAAGCCCCACGTGCAGGTTCTTCGCAGGCTCCTGACCCGCCGGCCGTGGCTTTCCACCCACCGTGGTTCTCTTGCCCTGCCTGACGTTGCTTCGGTGTGCGTGAGATCTCAGGACACGAGGCGACACGGAAACACCGGACGCGCATCGACCCAGCCGCTCACCCGCCGCGATGGCGATGCTCCGGGCCTCGACCTTGTCGCCCATCTTCTGCACCACCTCCGGGGAGGGGCCGATGAAACGCACGTCAGCCTCCAGGCAGGCCCGGGCGAAGTCGGAGCGCTCGGAGAGGAAGCCGTAACCCGGGTGGATCGCATCCACTTCGTTCTCCTGAGGGAAACCATGAGGGGCACAGCCGTCAGCGGATTTAACTTTATTTCCATTTTTTTTTCGCCTTGCGGGCTGCCCCGAAGAAGTTCACAAACCAAAGAGGAACCGAAAACTTTGGCCGCATAGCAGACGCTCCACATCAGCGCTCACCACCACGGGTTGGGTTGAAACCCAGATGGATCGGGAAAGTGTCTAATGAAAAAAACGACTGGGCACCTCATTGGCATGACACGGAGAACGAAAAATGAGCTCCGCCAAATGCTGATTTGACCCAGGCTAAATTACCTCCCCACCCCACAATCGTGCAGAAGGCTTGGGAATTCAAAAGCATGGCTTCTGAGTCTTCCAGATGCCTCGGACGGAGGGACGAGGCTCCCGTTCTCCTGCTGTGGGAATGAGGAAGGGGAAAGGGGGACCTGCGAATTAGCGGGGCTAAGCCGTCCCAGGCCCACTCCTGGGGGTGGGATTCTGGACCTCAAAGCAAGGGGGGGGCTCGTCCACATTGACGGCTTTATCTGGAGCTCAGAAAGAAAGAGGACTTCTCAGCAAGAGGAGGGGGAGAAGACCCACCACTAAGAGGTCAAGGGGAGAAAAAGCAGCCTCATCATCCCGGATGGAAACCAGTTCCTCTTCCCATTTTGCAAGCTAACCCTGTTATAAAGCAGAGTATTTGGGGATCGTTGGGTCTTGACCCAGCAATTAAGGGTCATTAACTATACAAATTACATACATTAACTATGCTCTGAACCTACTAGCTCGGGGTCCTGCTTTTCTCACCCGCAGGATCCTTCCCTTCCTCCCACGTAGGGACTCTAGAACGGACACACAACAGGCCCTCTAAAGGTGCCGCGAAACATCCCTGACCTACTCAAGGCAAGGATGGCTTCCAGAGCCAACGGATGACGGATCTTGGCCCCGGCCCTTCCCACTTTTCTCCAAACACAAACACACACAAGGGGACACAACCGCCCCATGGAAAAAACTGCAGTGCTCAGGAAGGGGGTTTAGCACAAGCCCCGGTGGACGGGGCAGGCAGGCAGGCGGGCGGGTGTGGGTTCAGCCTGAGTCGCTTCCTCACCTTGGCCACCTGGATGATGTCTGGGATGTGGAGGTATGCCTGGACCGGAGGGAGCCCCCTCCCGATCAGATACGCCTCGTCCGCCTTCTGCCGGTGCATCTGCCCTGTGTCCTGCTCCGAGTAGACCGCCACCGTGCGGATCCCCAGTTCGGTGCATGCCCGGAAAACCCGGATGGCAATCTCCCCTGGAAGGCGTGGGTGCAAAGGAGGGAGAAAAGGGTCAAAGAGGCAGGAATGAATCCGGAACCTCCATCAGCTAAGAATCCCGTCTGTATGGGTGCGAAGGAGGGAGGAGAAGGTCAAAGAATGAATCCGGAACCTCCATCAGCTCAGAATCCCATCTCTCTCGTCCCCTGCCTCCCCCCCCCGATCATTTTAAGGAGTTTCGGTTAGGGTTAGAGTTTGGAGCAGGATGGCCGCCAGGAGGGGGACTCTCTCTAATTATCCTCATTAACACTTCCCTAACGTTTGTCCCAGGAAAACCAGGAAAGGGGGGGGCTGGACTGCCCCAGGCCTGGCAGGGATGGGTTGAGGACCAGACACCAGGTTACCAGGGGCCCTCTCGAGCCTGGCCTATCATCATCCTTCTATCATGCACGAACATTCATACCACTATCCCGGCCTAGATGGAATGCAGAAAAGTAGTCATGTCTCTGTACATACACAGAGTGCACCTCTCTTCCTACTGAACAAGCACAATCATTCCTTTGTTGTCCCAGGAACGGCAATGGGGGAAATTTTCCATGGCAGATTGGGGGGGGCGTATTTGGACTCCTTTTCCAGAAGGGGGGGGAACCACACGTCGCTATGAAGAGTGAGCAGTGGGGCAAAGTGGAGTCCCCCCCAACAGCTGTAGCCCCACCTTGAAATCCACCCCCCCAGCTCGCCTCCTCACCTCTGTTGGCCACCATCACCTTCTTGATGGGCTTGTACTCCACTGGGTGGGTGCTCTGGAAGGAGGCCGGGCATCTCCAGAGGCGCCCCAAGGCCAGGAGGGGGGCCCTGCCGTGGGCCAGGCGCAGCTGCAGCATCTGCGGGTGGGAAATAACACATCAGCATTCCATGGAAGGAAGGAAGGAAGAGCAGTGCACAGGGGGCCAGGGCTTCAAAAGAGAGGCTTTGGGGTTACCTGCGCACTCCGAAGACGTCTGGATACACAGCCCTCCCTTGCACTGGACCAAGCAGGGAGCAACAGATGATGACAGCCAAACACACCCAAACGCCAGAGAGGCTGCTTGTTATCTGGCACAAACGCCTCCTTTTCAGCTTGATAACACAAGAGGTACAGTAATAGCCCTGGATCCACAAAAATCTGTATTTGTGGTTTTAAAGAAAAAAAATCTAGAAATAAATATTTTACTATGTATTTACAAGAACTGGCCACCTGAGGGAGCCAGAGACTTTGCTATGTACTCTCATTTGTGAAGAACACATAGTGTGGTCTCTTTCTCCCTCTAGTGGCCAATTCTTGTAAATACACCATGAAAATATTTATTTCTATAATACACTACATAGTAACTTTTTTATCCCCCCCCCTTTTTACCCTGTTATGTCTAGCATTGGCTATTATCTGTTGTTTTCAGCATCTATGGCAACGGGGCCTCTGAACCAATCCCCATAGATACGGTGGTGATTCTGTGCCAGAATCCTCCCCTCGGCTAGGCTTCCTCTGCCCGACCTTCCCCGCCCCCCAAGAACAGACCCTTAACAGCAGTCTAAGGAGACGCACAAATAAAAATAAAATCTGGAAACACATAAGTTCCTTATTACTGGAGGCACAGGAAGCTTCTCCTTCCCTTGGCCAAAACTTAGGGGTGGCCGCTGGGGGCCGAATAAAGAAGTTGAGGTCAAAATTTGCAAAGCTATAGTTTGGTGAAAAAGGAACTTCCCGGCCCCTTCACTGCCTGAGGAGCGGAAGAGGAAAAAAAAAGTAAGTTTCCCACAGCTTTGAGAGGGCTCTTCTTCCTCTGGCCACCAGCAGCAGCCATTCCTGGAGTGGCAAGGAGGGGGTGAAGGGGGTGAGATGGGAAGAAGAAGAAGGGGGGGGTCCCTCGCCCCCAGCCCTCTCCCCTCCCTCATTCAGAGGCGCTTTGCTTATTCCTCTTCCCTCCCCATCCTTTATTCTCTGGGTCTTCTACGACGGCATCCCCGCAGGGCCAACTACCTCGCGAGGCTTTGTCTGCGCCAAAGCGACTCTGGCGGTGAGCCTCTTTTGGTCCAGTGAACGGGATTAAACCGCAAGGGAAATAAAATGAATAAAAGTCACTTTGCCGGCCGTTTCTGGCCGACTCTCCCGGCTTAAGTGGAAGTTTGTCTCCCTCAGTTAACGTCTGGCGAGACCTTTCCACTCCAACTGGCTTTCCGTAATTGACTCGCTGCCGTGGAGGGAAAGAAAGCCATCAGCAGATCCGAAATGTGCCTTTTAAAAAAAAATTCCCGACATGATTTTAAATTGCTTCTAATACAACCGTGTTTTAATATTATACTTAGTTTGATTTCATTTGCACATAACAGCCTGGCATACATTTCGATGGGTAGTCATTTCTGAAGCTATTTTTACCTGCATCCGATTTTAATCTGGTTGCGAGCTTTACTGGGGATAAGTGGAGGCATAATATAAAATGAAACCTAATAAATACTGGGTCAAGGTTCTGGGGAAAGGCTAGACACAAATCAAACAGGTGACGTGCATAAAATCAACAGCAAATTACCCATATCCACAAAGAAATAGAGAAAAACACCTGCTGGAAATCTCCCTAAACATGCTCTGTGCAACCGGCGCACAAACGGGGTGCTTGATCATCCCAGGTTTTCCTGGAGTGGAAGGACCCCGTGGGGGGGGGCGGTCACAGGAAGCTTAGATGCACAAACCCAGCTCTCCTTGAAGAGAAAACTCGATAGGAAATGCACCGGGGAAGTTTTTTTTTTAAATAATAGTACAAAATCAATTTATTTCTCTAACACAGAGAGAAAGAGAGAAAAAGACGCACAGGGAGCATCCTTTCCCTCAAAAGCCAGAACCTCTCCCTCCACCCTCTCGCCAGCGCCCCGGCTGCCTCGGCAGCTGTTTGCCTCTTAACAGACGGCGCTGGGGCTGCAGAGCTGAGATAGACAGAGCTCGAGTAAAGACATCAGCAATTTAACCAGTGGATTCATTTTTTTTTTATGCTTCCCCCTAAATCAATAGCGTCTCCGGCACTCAAGGCCCAGAATTAGCCTGTGGGGTTTGGCGGCCGCCCTTCCTTCTCCCCCCCTCCCCACGAAGTCTCCCTGGGGAGACAAGGCAAGGAGGGGAGGTTGTGCGAGAGGAAGGGAGAGCAGGCCGGCAGAGAGGGGAAGCGGAGGGGACGCATCCAGGAGGGCGAGTGGCCCTCCTGTGCTTTTGGCATCCAGAGACGCTGGGGCTTCCTGGGCCAGGGGCTTCCTGGGCTCACAGCACGTCAGCAGCACATCGTGGCGTGGATTCACAGGGGGCTGCACGGCGTAACGCTCTTGTGTCGTGGCAGCGCTCATCTCTCAACGCTGCCGCTTCCTTTGAAATGAATGTTCTGGGCCTTTTTTCCCAGATTCTTAAAAAACTTGTCGAGAAATATGGTCTTTAATCTGAAGGACGAAGGGGTATCAGCTACCGAGTCCACAAAAGCTTCCACCTAATCAAACCTCTTCATCACACAGGGGGCACCAAACTCTTCAGCTTTAGAAATGGGCCAACGGCGTCAGCTTTCAAGCTCTGCAGAGTTCTTCTTCAGCTGGAGGTGGTTCCGGATTTAGGGCAGTGGAGGGGCGGCCAAGAAAGGGCCCCCTCCTCACCTGGACAGACACCAGAGTCCTATGCAGAAAAGGTCATTGACCGGGGAAACGGGGGGGGGGAATGCCCCCTGCAGCTTCGTTCTCTCACTGCAAGTCCATCAACATGGAACAGGGAAGCCAACAGAAGAAATGGTGTGAGACCGTCGGCGCCCGAGCCCCAAGCGGTGGACCCTTTTCTGGCTCCGTTGCAGCCGCATCCAGCCCAGGGAGCCGCCTGGCAGTCTGGAGATCAAGCGGTCCCTCTCTGGGACGGGGCTGACGGGGAGACTGAAGGGGAGAGCTCTTTTGTCTGGGGAGGGGGGACTAGATGACCTTTAAGGTCGCCTTTCAAGAATACAACAACTCTGAGGGTCTGAGCTTATGGAACTCCTGGCCACAAAACGCAAAAGGGACACCGGCTTTGGTGGCTTTAGAGAAGTTTTGTGCAAATCCATCTCGCCTGTGCATGTGTGTGTGTGTGAGAGAGGGACCCACAAGACAGACAGACAGAGAGAGAGAGAGAGAGAGAGAGGACCAATTTTAAGGGCGCCTTTCAAGAATACAACAACTCTGAGGGTCTGAGCTTATGGAACTCCTGGCCACAAAACGCAAAAGGGACCCCGGCTTTGGTGGCTTTAGAGAAGTTCTGTGCAAATCCATCTCGCCTGTGCATGTCTGTGTGTGTGAGAGAGAGAGACCCACAAGATTGAGAGAGAGAGAGAGAGAGAGAGAGAGAGAGAGAGAGGACCAATTTATCTGTCCACCACCTTCAGGATGGCAGGCAGCAACCAGGGGGCGGCGGCGGCGACGGCTTCCATGACGGATGGATGCGTTTCGAGCTGATCCTACACGGCTCTCCTCCTCGGAGGGCGGCTGCTGGGGATTTTTTGTGACCCAAGGACGCCTCCCCCCCCCCGACCAGGAGAACGAGCCGTTATGCAAATAGGCTCTATTTGCATGATTTATTCAGGCGCTGACATTTATGTTCCATTGGCGCAGCGTTTAAAACACCCTCAGCTATAACTGCTAAGCAACCTTGCTTTTTCCACGCTGGCATGCTGGATTACAACGCCCATCACCCTGTGCTGGCTGGGGGTGGATGGGATTCGGTATTCAACGCTTCAGGAGGGCCCAAAGGTAGCCAAACAAGACTTAACTACAGGAGAACGAGGTTCGAGTCGCCCTACAAGGTCATGAAATTCTCTGGGTGGCTCCAAACCCAGCACCAACATTTAGTCAGGCCCACCTCACAGGGGTGTTCTTGCAAGGGCAAAAAAAGAGGGGGGAAAAAGCCAGCAGCACTTCAGAGGAAGAGGGAAGCCGACCAGAAACACATCAGCTTTTGAGTGGGTTTGTCCTCCCTGCAGAGGTTGTGGACGGGTAAGGGAGGCAGAGAAGCCCCCAAACGGTCTTGCCTGTTTTATCATGATGCTTCCTGCATCTGTGTAACAGCCGGGGTTCCTTCTTGTGCTGTTTTATCTGGCATTTAATACAGGTGTGTGTGTGTGTGTGTTGCATGCTATTTTATGGAAGAAAGAAAAAACATTAAAAAGCGAGCGGTAGAAACGGATCACCCGCTCACTCGGCCAGAAAAGGACCGAGTCCCCTCCTGCACGGCAGCGGTGGCTCAGCAGGGTCACGGTGTTTGCCCTGCTTTCCCTCTCTTCCTCCTCTTCCCCCCCCCCGAGAAGCTGCCCTTTCCTCCACTTGGCACAGAGCAGAGGACCCGAAGCCCCACTGGCCTTTCACGGTCGGCACCTTTTTGAGGCTTGCCAGGCCAACGACGGATAAAAGCAAAACCATTCCCGAGGGTGACGGGCAACCTTGAAGAGGCCCGGCTGGGCATCCCATCCGTGACTCTGGATTAGGGCCTGGGGCTCCGGCAGGGAACAAGACAGCGGGAGGTGGCGTTTCGGACTGGGGCCTCTGCCCCCCCCCGATCACCCTCAATGAGCCAACCTTGCCCGATTTCAGGAGCTAAGCGGGGAGGGGTCCTGGTTAGAAGGAAAACCGGCCGGGAATACCAGGGCCTCCAGGAGTTGCACCTCTGGCTGCGGAGACAGAGATGGGGATGCCGATTCCCGGCTGTGCTTTGCAGGAGGAGAAGGCACTGGTATGTCGCTTCCGGATCTAGAAAGGATGATTTGGGGATTCCTGTGTTCCTCCCGCCCTGCCTCCAAGCTCATCAACCCGAACCAAAGTTCTGCAGGCTGCAAAACCTTGCCTTTTTTGCATGACATTT